GAACAGATTAATTTCTAATCTGGAATTCTGGAAGTTAAGTAAATTTGGCCCATACATGCTGGCCATAGGAAAACATGAAATTGATTACGACTATTGATCTGAATTCTCCAAACCAGGCTTCAGCAGTACGTGAATATGAACTTCCAGATGTTCAAGCTGGATTTAGAAAAGCCAGAGGAACCAGAGATCAAATTGCCAACATCCTCTGTATCATCAAAAAAGCAAGAGAGTTCCAGAAAAACATCTACATTTGCTTTATTGACTATGCCAAAGCCTTTGACCATGTGGATCACAACAAACTGTGGAAAATTCTTCAACGGATGGGAACACCAGACCACCTGACCTGCCTCCTGAGAAATCTGTATGCAGGTCAAGAAGCAACAGTTAGAACTGGGCAGGGAACAACAGACTGGTTCCAAACAGGGAAAGGAGTACGTCAAGGCTGTATATTATCATCCTGTTTATTTAACTTATATGCAGAGTACATCATGAGAAATGCCTTGGTGTTGGAGAAGACTCTTGAAAGTCCCTCGGACCGCAAGGAGATCCAACCAGTCCATCCTAAAGGAGATCAGTCCTGGGTGTTCATTGGAAGGACTGATACTGAAGCTGAAACTCCAATACTTTGGTCACCTGATGCGAAGAACCAGCTCATCGGAAAATACCCTGCTGCTGGGAAAGACTGAAGGGAGGAGGAGAGGGGGACGACAGAGGATGAGGTGGTTGGATGGCATCACTGACGCAATGGATGTGAGTTTGAGTAAGCTCTGGGAGCTTGTGATGGACAGGGAGGCCTGGCGTGCTGCAGTCCATGGGATTGCAAAGAGTCAGACACGACTAAGTGACTGAACTGAACTGAATTGATCTGATTCAAAAACATGAAAAAAAGGATATTTTCCTCTATTTGTCTAAAATACATTACTACTCCCAAATTTAAAAGAACAGTTGAGCACAGAATTAAGATCTGAGAATTCAGATGGAAAAGTTTCATTACTAAGCTTCTATTTTAAGAGAGAAAAATTCCAGATAATGAATTGAGATTGTCCTAAAATATATTTTTATAAAGGAAAGCAAAAGCATAGAAATTATTTCAGTTTTGATTTGGACAGTTAACAGAATAAGACAAAGTGCATGGAAATTCTTGTTTCACATGCTGCTTAATTCAAGTAATTCCAACTGACACTTCATAAATGACTTATATAGATAATGAGGATATTTGTTTCTCAGGGCACAACTCTGGTATCAGAAGACTGAAGTTTGTTAAATGGTAACTTGGCAGCAAACAATCACAGGTTTAACTACAAAAGTACTCAAGTACCACACTCACATATAATCAAATGCAGGCAAGATAAGAGGGTGTAATGGTGGTTTGTGAACAGCTTCTTGGTAGAAGACAGATTGTACACTTGCCTCTTAAATTCTCAAACCTTCTAGAAGAGCTTTTTTTTTTCTAGAAGAGCTTTTGGAACAAACTGGGGGATCTTCCACATAGCCATTCTCTCTTACTTTCCTTTACTTTCTTTTCAAGCTGACAAAGAGCGAATGTTTTGTTGTCAGTTTTCTTGGTCCAGTGACTGTCCTGGACTCACCCTCTGCACTTTAGTTTGTCTAGAAAACTACTCAAGTACTTGAGTGGCCATGCAGATGAAATCACTGCATTTCTGGGGACTGTGCCTCTTCTCAGAGTGCACAGAGGCACTCAGTCACTTTGTTAATGTTGAGGATGTGGTGTCTGTGAGGCTAAGATATAGGACCATGTCTCTGCATGGGTCGATGCTTTAAAAAAGAAATCATCGTTCAACGCTATCATTCTTTCTTGTCCTCTTTTAAAATATTTTACTGATCTCAAGGAAGACTGGGCTAAGGAGGTGGGATGGAGGGCAAAGACTTTTGTCTGTTCTGTTCACTGCCGTATCCCAATGCCTGACATATAGTAGGTATTTGATAAATAAGTGGTGACTTTTCTTCCTGGGTGAAGGATGGTATAATTGACTGGTGTAAAAGAATCCATCAGTTACTTCAGGTGAATTCCACCTAAACTTAGGAGTGAAAAAATCCTGTGCCCAAATGAAGTTATCATATTTGGCACTGTCACAGCCCTAAGTCAGCAATAAGGAACAGTTCTTAGGAAACTGGTACACTGGGAAATGAGTCGCCTCTTAGGAGCCACCCACCCTGTGAGCTGAATCTTGGAGAAGAGGCAGCCATGCTGGACATTTCTGCAGTCTGCCAGTTTCCTGCCCCACTGATCTGATCTCAGCCTGAAGTTCCCTGGGCTCAAGCCTGAGACCAGCTTTTGACAGCTGTGGAACACAGCGAGAACTAGACCCAGCTATTTAAACAGTTCCTGAGAACTGTCTGCTGTATTTCTGAAGTTCCAACTGGGAAAAGTTCAGGGGGGTCTGAGACTGGTGACACCAATTCTGTGAAGCTTGAGTTCATTTCCAGTTACATCAGTTGGCCTACCGTGTAGTTCCTAAGAACTTACTTTTTGATTCCCAAGATGGAATGTTATCATCTGGGGTCCCTAACTTCTGGGAGCTAATGTCTGATGATCTGAGGTGGAGCTGATGTAATAATAGAAATAAGGTGCACAATAAATGTAATGCGCTTGAATCACCCCAAAACCATCCCATACACCCTGGTCCGTGGAAAAGTTACCTTCCACAAGACTGGTCCCTGGTGCCAAAAAGGTTGGGGACAGCTGTAATTTAAGTGTTCCTCTGGCCCCACTATCATTTCACTTAACCCCAGACAATCTCTGGGCCCTGCACCTTATCTCTGTATCATATTTAAACATCCGAGTGCCATATCCACACAAATACCATAAACACACTTATTTTCATATATCTCTTTATCTTGTCATACACAAAATTCTCAGCATTTCTGGATTAAGCCCTGGAAACTTGGGCCAGAAGATGAAGAAAGAGGCACGCTCCCTCGGCGGCACGGCAGGTCCTTTACTGTCTGAGCCGCCAGGGGAGCCCCTGACTTTCACAGCACATCTAATTACAACAAGACTTTTGACATTAAACTTCGGTAGTTACGCTTTTTAGAAACGGGGGACATCTACTTACTGTGCTTCTTCAGAAGACTCTTGTTTTATTTTTAATGTTCTCTTTGTGACAGGTATTTCATCTGAAAAACAGAGGTTTTGGAAACATTATATTTTCCTAAGTGGTGACATGTATTTATGTAGATGAGTAGCTGTAAGTTTACTGTTTGTTCCATACTTTCCAATGTGAGAACTTAATTCTAGTGTCTAACACTGTCCAATGCCAGACTTACAGATGTAACTCATATATAATGAGATGCATACATTTATATGCAAGATCAGAAACCAGCTCTATGAGTATAAAATTCTTCAAGGTCACTAGTGGATTTCTAGCTAGGAGCTTAAAGCTTAATTTCATGGCAAACATGATTTTTAAAGGAATGAGAATGAAAATCATTCTTCTATTTAGATTTTCTATGTAGGTTTTATAGAGCAATTATTCTCCCCCAGCCCAATATCAGGATCAATATGCTCTACATGTTATTTTTTTTGTCCCAAAGGTTCGGGTGACTTAACTCTCTCCAGCAAAACCAGAGTTACAGGATGCCAAAGTAATTTAGACCTTAGAACTGTTTTGAAATTAAGAGGCAGTGATCATTAGCATCTGCCCTTTTTATTCTTCCAGTAATCAATTCTCTTACATAGTGTTAGTCTTATGGTTTTATAACCACTTTCTTCACTCCTCTCTTTCAATATTTGAGAGTTGTTTTTTTTTTTTTTTATAAACAGCATTTGCAAGAAATATTGGGTCAGTCAAAAAGTTCTTTCGGGTTTTCCATACCATTTTATGAAATAATCCGAATGCATGTTTTGGCCAACTCAATACTAGCATTTAATCCTTTTTCTTTTGAATCAGCATTTCTCTGTCATAGGAGATCTGTAAAACAGTGCCCGTGGGCTTTTGTCTTAAGCTGGGGAGGCATATTTATAGAGCCAATTCTACTTATCCTTCCTTGGGGGCTGCCTGAGTGCTTCACTAGAGAGTAAGAACACTCACTTACAAGTGAGCACTCATTACACAACTTGCTATGAATGTACAAAGGCTGCAGCAGACACTTGATTAGTACTGGCAAATTATGAAAACTAAAACCAGAACACTTATTGCAAAAAAAACCACAAAAAACAATCCAACTACATATATATACTCTCTTAGTTAGTCCATACAAGTTTAGATTTGATGGCCAGGAGTTTTATTTTCCATTTTTAATGTGAAGACAGTGAATAAATCATTCCAGCTATTGTTGGGATGTGAGCCTTTAAGAAGTTGGAAGGAGTGTGATCCCTGATGAAGTTCATTTATCAGCTCCTTTCAAACCAAGGCTTTCCTTCATTTATTGTTCAGACTGAAGCCTGGGAAGGGACCTTTGCCAAATTACAAACAGGGGTGGGGGAAAATTATTGGGGATAAAGGAAGGAAATGACCATTATATCTATACCAGCTGAGCCAGGAGTCAGTACTCGTAGCAGTCATCTTAGAACACAGAGGTGCAGGATATTTTTAATTGCATAGCCTGTCACTGAGCTTCCCTGCGCAGCCCAGCATCAGGAATTCTTCTGTGTCTTTAGGGACTTTGTGGAACCCCAGGCACCAGGCGCCAGCTGGCAGTGTAAGGCTAATCGAAGGATACCCACGTTGCCCCAGACAGACACTGGCTACATGTGCTGGGCTATCAGTGGGAATGGTAAACGAAGGCGTTACAGACATGAAACACCTGAGCACAGGTGAAGATAGGTACAGACACACACACACACCACAAGTATCACAGATACCGGCTTTCTTACCCAATTCCTGATCTGTGGGGTAGCCATGGAGATCCTGACTGTGGTTTCCCCAGTCCTCCTGTGAATACTCCTCCATAGTGCTGCCATCTGACTCCAGCTCCTGGTACAAGCCACTACTGTTAATAAGTACAGGCTGGCAGGGCTGAGCATCCCATCCTCCCTGACCAAACACCTGTTCCAACTGTTCAAATGTGTAACTGCTCTTTCTTTTCCCAACACCATGTTCTTTCACCCGACTGTAACACCTGCGAAGGGTCTAAGACACAAAGTCTTTTGTTATTCCTTTAAAGCTGTACTTCCTCTTCCAGGTACGGACCACAGATATTAATTACTATTAGACAGACACGGACAGACAAACACAGACACATTGTTACAGGAATGCTAGATTTTAAATTCATTATTATATTAGAAAAAAATGACTAATTTAGCATTTACTCAAACATGTTATAATTCAAACAATTATTTTGCAATTAATTATCCATTAAACAACAAGAAACATTACAACATTATTGCATGTATCCCATACACATATTTTTATACCCCCACCCCCATTTTAAAAGAATAAGGAAAAAAAAAAAGAAAACAAGAAATACCAGCCAGCCAATAGGATGCACACCTGCCACAGAAAAGGAAGAGCCGCTGTTGTGCCCAGAATTTGGAGAAAGTGAGGGGAGGGGGGACAGAAAGAGGAATTTCCCAAAGCAAAGAATGTGCCCTTCCTTACTCTCGATTAAGAAAGAACATAGGGTAAACACAATTGCCTAAATGAATTAGCTAGGAAAACAAATTACTTACACAGTCCACACTCCTTACTAACTCACTCTGACTTTGGGGCAGTTGCTAGAATTGAATTTGAAAGAGATCAAATCAATAACACTACAGATGCTATCTCAATCATCAAGAAACAACAAGACACTGATACCAACACCTAAAAATCAGCCAATGATAATACTAGCCTATTCTACCAACTCAAACTGTCAGCCAAACACCAACAAGAGAAGCCAATAATTTCTTTTGGGGTGGGGTCACAGAAAGTGAGGTGGAAGGGTGTTATTTCACTTCTTTTTCTGCTTCGTGGTACAGAGCAAATAACATATCCTTATGCAAGTCCACAGATAAAACCTGTATAATTTTATTACCTTGCACAACCCTTCAACCTGCTTCATCGTCTTCCAATGCATACTTCTGATAATTAACCCAGTTCCTTAGTTTAATGGTATATCTTATGCTATCTTACATGATATTTCAAAAGATAAATCAAGGATTTAGTCCCAGGCCTTGCGCCTCAGTTCCAAATTTAGTTTAATTATATTCATTCTCTGTCCTGTCTCTGCCTCCTTTTGTTCCTTTTCATCTCCTTTCTACTTTACTGGGTTTTACTCTTGAGACTTTTCATGGCAGACAAGACTCTTTTTCTCCAAATGCTTTCAAACTCAACTGTGCCAAACTAGCTTACCTTAGACTTAATTTACACACATCAGCCAAACTGAATTTCTCCTGAATGTGAGATGACTTTCCATAAGCCAATACCTCACCTACTCTCGCCAAAATAAAACAACTCTGAATAATCTTTATGGAGCCTCCTCGAAAGTTCAGTACCATTAAATCTCAGTTGACAAACTACAGGAAGACACTCTGTCAAACACTGCAGATCTCTCCCTTGAGGCCAGAAATCCAGACAGGCAAAGGGAATAATAAACACAAAACACACATGACAATCTTCCTCCGACACAGAGCAGCGATTAAGAGTCGTCCACCCTGAAACCAGCCAGCCTGTCCCCTGCATAAGCACTTGCCTCACTCTTCCTTTCTGGAGATTTCTTTTGGTACATGAAAGGATGCCTTAAAGAAGTAAGGTTTCTGATCATACACTCTTTAAAAGTGTTCCTTCTTCCTCTTTGTAAAGGATACTCACAAGTACATAACACACAACTTTCTGGAACAAATTGGAAATGAACCTGGGAAATGTGTCATGGGCAACTCTTCAAATGGGAGGGGACAAATGCCTCCAGCTGACCTCATGTAACTTTCTATACCCCATTACCCGGGACCCTCTGCCCTCCTTGCGGGAACTGGAATTTGAATTGCAAACATCTCCTGCCAATTTATTTTTATCTCACAATGTCTACTTTCTGCCTCCAGGAACACCCCAACTGCTCTTTTCAGCTCCTCCAAGGACCGTAAATGGAGAGTCCCAGCCTTGTCCCTCTCACCCTTCCAAGGCCATAAATGGAGATGGAAACCACACCACTCAGCGCTCCCTACTTGCTGGCTGCCTGGAGCACGGCTCTCCACACACAAAGAACCCCCACGGATCTGTCGCTGAGGGTCACTTCGGAAGTCAGGGAGTGAAATTAACACTCCTCTGAAGGAACGTGCCACACTATGTGACCAAGGCGTGAGCAAAGCGACCAATCTTTGACACTACATTTGGTGGGAAGCTACAGAGAAGATTTACTTTCTTTGAAACCATCTAATCGAGCTTAACATTTCACTTCTTCTGTGTATGAATAAGGAAACCAGCAGTGTTTAAGGGTTCTAGATATGGAAGAACAGTCAGATGATATATTTTATATTCCATCAAAAAAAAGTCTAACAGATCCTGTCACCTCTTACTTTGCAGAGTAATTTTGAAATATACTTTAGTAGTGTAATATGCTGAAATGTAAAATACCTATTAGGCGTCTGAATGAAAAATGTTTGGTGACATCTAAATCCATAAGATGGGAATTTGATGTATCGAAACAATGTTAAAAAGATTTCCAACTCTCTGGAGACATAAATACACAAAAGAGGTGCGTTCTGGGTTCAGTAAAGACCACAGATCCAAGCAGAGGCTGTTTAAAAAGCATATATCAACTGAGATAGAAAACAAAGAAAGAAACATCAGCTTGACTGCTACTCTAACAAACACTGGGATTTAGATAAGCGAGAGGGACTTTAGAAATGCAGGAAAAGGACATACGGAGGCCTTCCAATTCTTATCATCCATAATAAACCAGAAAAGGTTACACTTTCCACACTCTAAATGATTAACCAAAGCACAAAGATTGTATGTCTGTATCAACAGTCCTCAATAAACCAACTAAACATCGACTGTGCACCTTAGATTAGATAATGCAATGGTATCTAGGAAAAACTTGCCTCCCATTTTGGAAAGCTGTACCAAGCCCAACAAGAACCTCAATTCAGCTTCCTTCGAGAACCATTTCCTGTTCTACAGAGAAATCTTGTTTCCTTCCTTTCTTCCTTTATATCTCACCCATCTTACAAATTTATAGTCACTTGGCTCTAGCATTTTTCAAAAAATTAAGACCTCAGAGAGGAAAGAATTTGCTTAAAATTATTAAAGACTATTCTATTCACAGTGAAGAAGAACACTTCCTTTACTGTTAGAAATGTTCATGGTAAATCTCTATTACTGTCTCCCCCAGGAGTTATGAGATAATACTATATCCTGAGTGAAGTCACACGGATAGAAGAACTAAAACAACTTGACCATGTGGTCGGATCAGAGAAATCCAAAGGTATCTGATTCAGAAGAACTGCCAAGTGAATGCTTGATAAATCCACCATGCCAAGTGTTCAACGACTACAAAAGAAAACCAGAGAGAAGTGAGAGATGTCCCATTACCAAAGCAGGGAGAAAAAATCAGATGGCTGACAACTGACAATTCATAGACAGAGGGAAGGTTTTGCCAAAGTTTAAGATTACAGTGAGAGGAAATGAGAGAATAAAAGATGACATTCATTGTGGATGAATGTAAGGGGAGTCTGGGGGGTGGGAAGCGGGGCAGGTAAACAAAGGCAGGAGCTTTAAGATTGGCAGGATTGGGGGTTTAACGGCAGCAATGCAGAGAGAGACCCAGGGTTACAGTACACGTAACATTAAATACAGTGCACAATGCAGCTATCTTGCCAAAGTAAGTAAATCCAGTATTGGGTTGTGTAAGCAGAGGAATCACATGTAAGCTATGGAGGTGGCTCTTCCTCTCTATTCAGCACCGGTGAGGCCACAGCTGGAACACAGCATTCAGTTCTGGGCATCGAACCAGCTACAAGAGAGGGAAATTGCAGAGTTCAGAAAAGGGCAAATAAAATAATGAAAGGCTTGGAAAATAAGATCTTTAAGTAGGGCCAGTGGTTTCATCAAAGTCCTTCCTGACATTATATAAGCTACTGTGGGGGTCAAAAAGTAAGGCTTCTTTTTATTTCAATGTCCTCCAATTCCTCCTTTGGCTTTCAGGAAGGGGGAAGAATAGAACTCTTCCCTGGTGTGGCAGAGTGGTAAGCAAGCTCAATCAATTACATGGGCATACGCCACCTAATTCTGCTACTGGCTCCATCATTTTCTCAAAATGTGCCCCATTTCATACAATCATAAAATCATCACCATGACAAAACCACTGTTCTAACAGAACTGTCTATAACTGGAACAGGGTATGTAACAGGGAGGAATGGAGATAAGGCATAATTGCCATACAATGTTTTGTTTAGAAAACACTGGCATGATCAGTCTAAGATGTCAGATGAAAAATAGTCAAATTGCAGGGAGGACAGCTTAGTTGTAACAGTAGGAAACAATGTTATAAGAAAAAAACAAGCAGTGAAACAGATTTTCAAACGTGGTTGTCAAATTAGCCATACTAGAAATGGCTTACAGTTTATCTTAACCCTCTGCCAACTAAATATGATAAATTTAAGACTCTTTAACCCAAATGATTAAATAAAGGATACACTTATTTGGAAACAAAGTCTTAAAAATCACATACTATATTTCCACAAGCAATAGCTGAAATTATACTAGGTGCAAATCTCTAGTGATTATTTACAAAAAGTGAGAAAAACAATACTTCAGCCTAAGCTGATGTGTACTGTAAAGCAAAAGAAACAGATCTATCATCTTTTAAACTAAAGCTGCTGCTTTACTGTGTTACAATTAGTTGCTCTTAGTTAATTGAGGCAACAGAACAATACTGAGTTTATTTCAATATTTCTAAGAAAGATTCAGAATGTCTTAGTTTAATTTTCTTACTGTGAGCACAAAGGTGGTGGGGGGAAGCTTGAAATGGCAAACAACTGTAAAAACATTTCTGCACACAGTAAAAGGAATGTTAAGAATATAGCATAAATTTTTATATATATGTGTGTGTGTGTGTGTGTGTGTGTGTGTGTGTGTGTGTGTATGTATATATAAATATATATATATATAGACAGAATTGTAACTAATGATGAGGAAATCAGTTAAAGCAAAATCCATCTAAGGTCAGTGTAATTTTTACTATCTATTTTCTTAGGTTTTCTGTACATTAAAATTTGGCAAATTGACTTGCCAATCACCTAATCCTTCAAATCAACCTAAGTCATTTAAAACCAACCAATCAACCAAAAACCCCAACAAAAGAAAACCAAAAAACACAGCACTTGTTTCACACTCCCTGGTTCTTAGCACTACAGAAGATCTGGCAAGTAAGAAATCTTGACTCTCAAGACACCATTTTCCTCTCTAGAGCAGAGGTGCTTTTCTGGGTCCTGGATCCCCTCCCCAGAAGAATACCTGTACAAAACTGTTCTATACAATGTCAAGGGGAACCTGGACTCCCTGAAGAGCTCACACAAGAACCCTGGGTTAAGAAACTGCTCTATGCCACGTGGTTTTTTTCTTCCACCAAAGAATATGTAACATATTAGTCAGAAATCCTAAAATAACGTAGACTTAGTCTGTGTCTTACGTTTTATAAGAGAGGCTGAAGACTGGGACCAATTCAAATACAATTTCTCCAACTTCCTCAGAATCCTACTCATTTAGATAAAGCAGCCTTACTACTTTCTTTAAGAGGTAAATTAGCAAAATTCCCATTTCTTGAAAGAAACAATTTCTATAGGTAGAAGTATACAAAGGTATCAACTTACTCTTCACAAAAATATAGCATTTTTTCCCTACCTACTGGGAAATAAATGTTTTTCTGTAATGGCAATGAAACAGTAATAAATGATTCATAAGTTATCTGTTCCAGCAGTATCACAAAGTACTTGATCATTCACTATCTGATTAACATATCAATTGAGAGTCTAGGTAAATCACCTAAGGTAACCACTTAGACCAGGGAAATTCACACACCTAGAAACAAGTATAGGAACCTTAAGTCTTGACTACCTTCCTTAGTGGACAATGGCTAAGCCTTAACACCTCCCCACTTTAACAGCCTAAAGACTAAAGGGACTCCAAGGAATAGGCAATGTCTATGGGAACTCAATCCTTAACTCCATGGGATCAAAGTTGATCTGTTATTCCACTGAAACCATCATGGTCAGCAATGCCTTTCTAATTACTAAGAACAGTGGTCCTCAAACTTTGTCCTTAACTCATCTGACTTTCTTGCGGTACTTGATACTATTCATTACCTATACCTGTCACTACTCTTGCCAAGTGCCTCTTCTGTAAAATCGTCTGTGATATAATGATTGACAGAGAGTAGGTGGGGCTGCCCAAGGCTGAGAGAAAACCAGGTTCCAACTTCCAAAATATTACAGAAGTTTTGAATGGAAAAGAACTCAAGATCATCTAGTCCAACTTTCTCACTTAACAAATGAGGAGTCAAGACCCCAAGACAAGCGTTCCTTCAGAAGGGATTTGGCATGTAAAAATTACCAAATGACACTCTAAAATGTTAATGTATCCTAAAAAAGCTATTTCGCTCGATTGTAAACTTCAAGGGGCAAAGGCTGTCTGCCTTGTTCCCTGTTTCCTGGAGCCCAGAATAGTGCCTGTCATGTAAGGATTGTTCAATATATGTTTATTAAATGAATTAAGGTAATTTAAAAGTATTAAATCACTTGCAAGAAGGTGAAAATCTTCTTAGCAAAGAAAATGGGGAAACTCACTGTTTAACCATACAATGCATTAAATGTATTAAAAGTCAATAAATCCAAGGTAGGTAGGAGTCCTAAAACCTTTTGAAAAGAGCAGGAGTGGCAAAAGGTATAAAACACAGATACCACCATCATTAGCAGAGCAAATTAATTTCTTCGTAATACAGGAGGACTAACTGCAGAGGGCAAGGCTATTTTAAAATATCTACCATTCCTATTACACTTTTCTTTGGCGGGGAATGGGGGGTGGCGGATTACCTGCCAAATAGAGCTCTGTAAACCCTGTCCAAATTTTATTATTTCTTATGCCTTACAAATTAAATAGTGAAGAATATTCTTTGACAGTAGTTCAGTTAAAGATACAAAAGGAAAAAAGACTTGATTGCTTCCTGGATGTTAACAGGGTCAAACACAAGAATGACCACCAGAAACCTTACCAAGAGCTCTTACCTCTCTAGGGCCTCAGTCTTTGTGGGGAACTGCCCAGGATCGAGTTCTATCAGCTGCACTTCATCCCAAATCTGGCTATTAGTGACTCACTTGTGTCTGTATCTGATCAGTGTGTCTTTAGGAGGGAGAAATTCTTGCATAGAACAAATCATTCAGGAAATTTTCTCAGCACATATTCTAAGCTTTCTAGCTTCCTCCATGCTAGCAGCTGAGGGTCTTACCCATTCCTAGTAAGAAGAAAAAAGCCGGGCGGGAGGGGGCAACAGGATGGGGAACACGTGTGGATCTATGGCTGATTCATGTCAATGTATGGCAAAACCCACTACACTATTGTAAAATGATTAGCCTCCAACTAATAAAAATAAATGGGAAAAAAAAAGAAGAAAAAAGCCCTCGAGGACAATACTAATTGTCAAAATTAAACATCTTCCATTGCTCAAGAAACTAAACTCATATGGCCATAAAGCTTTTAACTCTACACTGTCTATAAACCACACGGATACTCATAGAAAATCTCATCTTGGTCGCAATACTAGATAAACCATACCTAGTGTGCATGGTCAGGTTCAAGGGCTTCTTTGGGATACAAGAGTCTTTCTAGATATGGAATCTTCAAGGGTTTCTCTATTTAAGTAAAAAAAAAAAACAAACTAGAGTTTACTGAACTACTTAATTATTTCAGATGTAGGCAGCAGTCAAGCAGTCATCAAACCCAGTCAGATAACATTATGTATCTAGAATTTCCCCCACCCCCACCCACCACTTGAAAGGGAAAAAAATCAGTTGTTTCGAAAAGCACTGACTTGGATGAGAGGTTATTTTCATCTGACCTCCTATATCAGCGCTGACGGTGCTACATTAGCATCTCTGTTGAATCTTTTCTCAGTACGTCACATCCCAGGGCACCACCTAAAAGCAGTATTTGGATGATGTTAAAATGGTAGCTTTTATTAGTATGTGATAACTAAAACACATTCAAGAGAATTATCTAAAATCTATCTAGGATAGCGGTGAGAGCCACTCATCTTTAAAGTCCTCTCTCATACAAACATCCTGCATTAAACACTGACGGCTCCATAATCAAGTGTCTAAAAGTTAAGCATGACACATGAACATGTATACACGTGTTCCAAACATCCTCGGAGCATCATTGTTACAATATTGTACTGCTTCCCAAACACAGAGGTACTTTCTTTGATTCATGAGACCAGGTTTAGGCAGACCAGGCTCCTCTCTGAAAAAGGCCACTTGATTTTGTTTCATAGGGTGACCATGTGATTCTCAATTTTGTAGTTATCTTCTTACTGAAAACTACCATCTACAATGCAAAGATAACTTAAAATCGTTTTTTTTTTTCCATTAGTAAATTTTAGGTATTTGGTTGTGAAAAAAAATAATAATTTAGACATTGAGACAAAATCACCTAAATAGTAAGATTAGAAATCCTCCAGAGATACCTGGGTACAAGCATTAGGTTAAGATTCAGTCGACTATTAAAACCTGGTAAATATTAAGTGATTTTAAAAGGGTTTTTTCTTTCTGCATTTACAGGGTATAAGCTATAGGTCACAAATGCATGAAAATAAAATATTTCTGTATCTTGACATATAAACTTTCTATGAAAAATCTGAAAATAAGCCTGCTTTAAGTTTACGCACCTGTCTTTGAGCAACCTGAACTTACTGAGAAAGTTGTTGGAAACTCAGAAAATCTACTGTAACACTTTTTATAGCTCAGTTGGTAGCATTTTAATATTTTATTCTTACCTTTATGAGGGCTGCTAAAAGGAATTACCATATGAAAAAATGTCTGTATCTTCTACAAAAATCAGACATTTTCCATAGGTGGCTCAATGTCCCATGCAATGAAAGTAAACCATAACTAACATCTTCTCTGTCTCTACCATGTGCTGAGAGTTGGGGTCAGCAGTTTTCATTTATTATTTCTAATTTTTACCATGATGCTAAAAGAGAGGGTCCCAGGAGAGACACTGAGGAGGCTGTGCAGGACATCTATAGCGGAGAGCTCTTCAGAACAGCATTTGTGAGCACAGGATGGGGAAGACAGAGGTGAAGTAACTCATGGCCGCCTCGGAGGTCTTGGTCAATCCTAAAGTGAAGTATGGAATCTGAAAGTAATACTTTAGAACTCCCTTGACTTAAGGCAAGGCGGCTGGACTTCTGAATTTCAGCACTGACCAGTCACTGGGTCCAGGCTGCCGGGGGAGAGGGAGCCTAGCCGTGGACAACCAGACATTCCTGGGAGGATTCCTTCAGGAGGATTCCTGAAGCCATCACCACTCAGGCAGCTGGTGGGGGATGCGCCAGTGTCTCATTTCCCGGGGAGGGGTCCGGGCACGGTATTACATGTACACAGAAGATATATCATGCTGCCCTATTTAACAGAAAAGAGAACGAAGAGAAAGCCAAGAGCATATCGAAGGTCACTATCGCAGTGTCCTTCATGAAAATCCATCTTAGGTTTCAAAACGAGGACCTTGTGTGTTTCTCTTCTGCAGGCAATGAAAAGTACAGAAAAATCACTGTGTTTACCTTTTTGCCATAGTTGCCAGGAAGTTCATAGCTCATTTTCATATTTAGCTGAAGTAACCACATTTACCTGGGTTACTGCTATACTCCCTGCACTCTCTTGATTTCTCACTTCTTGATTCTATTTTGAGCTTTCTTCATCTGCATAGTCTCCTTTTTGTATATTCATATCACGCATTACAAAACAGTCCATCTCACCCTCATCACCTCTGAGGAAAAGAGTACCCAGTCATTTACACATTAGGTGAACAATCACAGGCATAAAGTTAACGGTCACTCTGCGGTCTCCTTCAGTAAGCCACATCCTTACTCACTTTTACTGTCAAAAAGTTCTTTCTACCATGTAAATGTTTCTCCTTCTTTAACCTCAAACTTAATTTCTTTAAGAAGAGTTGGTAGTTCAACAAATACCATCACATATATAAAGGCCTGAATGAAAGACTGAATGAACTGTCTACAATAAAAGTCTTATTTATGTTTTGACACTTTGTTTTAAATTCTTGGGACTTTCAAATCAATGTTTCTCATTATGTTTATAATCTTAGGACACCATGAATTATCTGCAAGGATTTTTAAAATTTCTGTTTCCATTTTTATGCCAAGACACATATATGAGCCCTATGAGGTCCATCTGTGTGTTGCTGTGTGATTTTGGCATTTATGAATTTATGATTTCATTGTTGCCAAAATACTATCTCAACTGTCAAACTTTAATAAAGGTGGACTGATAATTCACAATGGGGCAATACACAATCAAGTGATTAAGAGTGCAGAGTCAGACTTAGTTTAGCTTCACCACCTGCTAGCTCTGTGACATTAGAAAAATTAATCGCTCTGTACCTCAATTTCTCTATCTGTAAGGTGGAGCTGGTAACAGTACCTCCATCATGAAGTGAAAGTGATAGTTGCTCAGTCGTGTCTGACTCTTTGCGACCCCATGGACTGTATCCCGACAGGCTTCTCTGTCCATGGGATTTCCCAGGCAAGAATACTGGAGTGTGTGGCCATTACCTCCATCATAGATTTGTGTTAAATAAAAAAATTCAAGTAGAGAATTTAAAACAGTGTTTGCTTAGTAGCTTGTACTCAGTAAATGTTAAATATTTCTTATTATTTACAACAAGAATAGTCACGCCACCTGGAAACCAAGGTGCCTTATGTGAAGGTTAGTTCAAGGAGAGAAAAAGTAGCAGTGAAGCTTTATCATTAAGCACATGATAAGAATAACAAACTCAAAAGAAACTTACTGTAGCAATCAGTGTCAGAACCTTGTTTAGAAAAGCAAGTAACTTTCAGCTAAACATCACCTAATATTAAAAGAATGCTCACTTCTTTATTAGTACTTAAAGTGTATCAAGTTTTGTTTGACAACATGTGAAATCTTTAAGTATTAATAAAAGGTGCTTATACCTAGATTTAGGTTTGTTACATATTAGGTAACATCGTTAAATGAGTATGTTATTGCCCATACATTATTCAAGTTTCACCAACACCTGGCTATGTCATCATAACTTTGCTCATATTCATTCTTCTATGGCTAAAAGCCAATCATTTAGCCATTTTCAAAGGTTTATACTCTGAGCAAGAATATGGTGACTAACACAGTGACATATAAACAAGAGGAAAAAAGGAATCCTCGCTACCCACCCAGAGTGAGGACTTAGCCTCACTCACTGGGCAACCCGTTTGCAAGAAGCAGGAGGCAGGCATGAATCAAGTAAGAAGCATGAATGACCTATATATACTTTCGCGGAGTTCAATAAAACAAAAAGCATGTAGATTTCTCATTTCTTCTTTGGTGCATGGAAATTTTGCATGTGTGCTCAGTCATGTCCAACTCTTTGCAACCCCATGGACTGTAACCCACCAGGCTCCTCTGTCCATGGGATTTTCCAGGCAAGAATATTGGAGTGGGCTGCCATTTCCTTCTCCAATGGAAATTTTACTGGACTTAAAATAAGCTTCACCACCACTTCTTGAAAAATAACATATCTCACAGACTTGTAGATATGCTATCGTGAAGAAGTTAAACATTTTCCCTTGCTTTTTCCTCTTAGTTTTATAATTTGGTTTATATAATTTATGTCAAAAATTATTCTATACTGTTCTAAAACTGGCAAAACTTTGATTTCTCAAATCCAACGGTTAACCGTATTTCCTAATTTATACAAGAGAGAAGGAACATTATCTATTTCTGCTGAAGGCTGTACCACCAGGACCAGCACAGAGGTGCTCATTATCTAATAACAGCATGAATACCAGGCAGCATGGCACTTTGCTGCTTGGAGGGGCAAGACTCAACCGGACATATCACAGTAAGAAGTCATAATATAAAAATCATGTAGATCATTCTTAATAAAGCCAAAGCAAAGGAACTTCTATTTCCCATGCATAGTGGAAGGTTGAGAGCTCAAACCTTCTAAGGTCAATAAGGCTAATATAAAAGAATATCTTATTTGAGGGTTTTTCTGATTGTGTTAATAGTTTTGAATTAACATATTTAAAGTATTCATACTGTTTTCTACTGCATATAACCTCTTTGAAGGCAGGTGGGTTTGTTTTTGTTTTTTTCCCCAGTTTTATTCTTTGACATATTCTTAGAACCTACATCAAATATTTGGCACACAAAAGCAGCTCAATATATTTTTGCTAAAGGGATGAGTAAATGACAGAAACTCCTAAGATTGTATGTGGCAGCTGAGAGTTACAAGGTCAACATACTTTCTGGCCTATCACACTCCTTTTTCTAAATCATTAAGCAGCTCTAGCCATTTAGAGAAAAGTATTTGTAAATTTTAAATAATAATGATAAGAGCAGGTTTTGGTAGATATGAACTTTATTCTGGTTTCATTAATATCAAGTACAAACATAATTGACTTATTTGGATAAATGTAGTAATCTGAAGGTAGATATTAGAGAAACAACATTGTGAGTTTCAAAAATTCAGGCTGTTACAACAAAGTCATCTTACATAGGCTGAGAAAATGCTATTATAAAATAAATCTAGGTAAATAACTTCCATTCTATTTCATCACTTTATAATGAATGAAGTTATTATTTGGTAGCTCAAGAAATGTAATTTATGAATACAGCCAAGAACACATATATAAAAATAAGATGATGGCTGTTATTCCTAAAATGTCTGAGAATAAACACAGGTCTGTATTCTATTAGGAAATAACATCACACCCCACCCACTAAGCGACAAAGAAGCACTCATTTGATTAGCGCCAAGAAAAAAGGTATTTCCATTGGCTCTCAAGGACTCTCTCAACTACAGATAGGTTAAGAATTATACAGACTTAAATATACATCTTATTCCAGTATGCAGGCAATTTTCAATTCTTCAGAACAATAGC